GAGGAGGGCGGGTGGAGGCGAATGAAAGAGAGTGAACGAGAGAGAGAGAGAGGAAAGCGTGTGCTGCTGCTGCTGCTAGAGCGGAGGGAAAGGGGAGAAGCCGGTTCACTCCTGCTGCATCTCCACAGAAGTGGCGAGCGAGACTGCAGAGGCTCGTGGTCATCTGCTCTCAGGGATTTTTTTTTAAAAAAAAATTCAGCAGCCGACACGATCTTCTTTCATGTTCGCATTTCACCGATCGCCTTATTTCACCTAGAAATGAAGTGCGTTTACATTTTACAAAGTTTTACAACTAAATGGGGCTAAGTATCTTGGGGGCGCGAACACATCTGCAGGCGCATGCAACATGATCCGACTCAGGGAGGGAGGCAGGGAGGGAAACGCATCACGATTTGTCTAAATTAGGTTAGCTTTGAGTGTCCTGTACAATTTCTCCCCTCATCCCCTTTTTAAAAATAAAACAAATCGCAGCAAGATAAAATCCTTATCTTACATAGGAAAATAAAGATCAATGAAATTTTAAAAAACATTGATTTCATGTACCATGCTAATTTTTAATAGCAAAATTGGATTTTAATTCCAATTTTTAATATCTTTAAATTGTTACCTTTTATGGGACATGAGAAAAATGAGATGCTCTTCTTCAAGCATCAAAACCTAAAATTATTAATAGATACTTGTTTTGTTTGCTAGTAAGTTATTGGTTTTATCTACCTTCTTGATATAATTCAACAAGGGTTTCAACTGATATCTGAAATTGTTAGATCTCAGGAACTTGTCTGTGAAGATTTTTTTTTCCAAGGAAAAGCAACAGTTTCCTCCATGGCCAAATGGTGTAGTAGCAAAACAGGTAACAAATATTTAAATTTCCACAGAACAACAACATAAGCAATGACTAAAATTGGTGACATTGGCATATTTAAACCCCTTCCTCCCGTGTTTGGGCTACATGCATTATTGGCTTCAAAGTACAGACAGGAATCCTGTGACATTACACATGTAAAAATACTACTCTGTTTAAAGTGGAAAGGTTTTCTAGAGTCTTACTGACAGCAGTGCTTCGTGACTGGGCTGCATCTTGGACGGAGCAGGCAATTGCAACCAAGCACACCTCCCTGAGCACTAACAGGAGTAGCTGTACGGATGCTCTGTCATCCTTGCTTACTTGCGGCTCAGAATATCAATTCAGCCAGTTACACCAAAGTCTGCACTGCAGTGCACCAAAATGGAAGCTTAAAGGGAAAAAAAAGCCTAATGTCTCTGATGAAGAAATATAACACCTTTGTCAGTCAGTTAGGGAATGAAGTAAAGTTTTAAATGCAAGGGTTTATTTGTTTGTTTGTGGGGGGGGGGTTACAAAAAAAAGAGAGAGAGAGAGAGAGCTGCATTTATAAATGGAAAAGTCATGGAGCACATTTTTGTTGTGACATCATAGGCAGTGACACTGTATTGCATTTAAATACAATGCTTCTTCTTGCTATGGAAAACCTCACAATTTTTATTATTTCATTATTATTATCCTGCAGATTCATAACTTAGCTGAAGAATAAACAGTATGGAGTACTGGCCGTTCCAAATGCTATGTTGAACTTCCAATGGCTATTCCAGGCGAACTACCCCTATGAGTGTGCAGACCTCTTTTCCTCCCCTCAGTGTCCCAGCCAGGGTTTTTTCTTTGTTTGTTTGTTTCTGCATCAGGTAATTACTAGCGACGATCTTACCCTCCTAACCAATTTCTCAGATAATACGTGAAATGTATTAATTGTTATAATTTCATTTGTCAATTTCTCCTCTGCTTTGAACAAGAGCAAAATTCCCTCTTTATGGTACTGCTTGCAGGAACTACAATCAGCCTACCGAAACATAACAAGGGAATACACGCCAACAGTGTAAGAGGTGCACTGAATCTTAGATTCATGTACTGTACATAAAAGGGGAATATGAAGATAATTTTTAAATTAAATGCTGAAGAGCTATTCTAGGATGACTGTTGCCACAGGGGTATTCCCAGAGCTCATTTAGAACAGTGCCTCCAATACACTGTACCAGATAATGTGATGATCAAGTTATTAACTTTGTTGCTCGTATCATTGGTCGGGTGGGGGTGTGTGTGAGGTTGCCTCTCCCAGTGCTATGTGCAACTGGCAGTGTTATTACCTTCATTGTAATGCTGTGAGTCATCACATTGTCACCTGGGTAACAGGGGCCAGCTAACGTTACCAAACACAATCCCATCAAGGCATGCCTTCTGAAATAAGAATCCAGCATATTTTGTTCTAATGGTGAACTGCAGACCAGTAACTCCAGAGGCATGGCTTTTGGCTTTTGCAGCAGTTGTATACTCAGGTTCCCTTCCTCTAAGGTTCATAAGTTAAAAAAATTCTTCGGACTCCTTTCTGGATCTGCTGCCAAAACCCAAAATGAACTGCATTGCCTGACAGGCTGCTAGCAAGGATGCAGCAACCATAATAATTAGGAAGATTCCGTTTGCTGCAGGGTTGAATGTTTAATTATACTGGGCAAAGCCCATGAAAGTCTCCTTGAGAAGCTGGCTAAGCAAAAAATGCATATAGAATAGTCACCATTGATACCTGTCAAACTGTGTATTGTATGCACGCATTAGAAATGAAATCTCACTTTCTTCAACTTGCCATAGAGTGACAGGTACAAATCAGTAGCGTAACAGCTTCCTAACAACTTCAACAGGGAAACTGACTGAGTTGTATTATGAGTTAGAAAACTGTATTTCTCTTGCTGTTTTTCAGAATGACCTACTACTCTGTCCAACTTTTCTGTTGCTGCCTCCCCTTCTTTCCTTTTTCCCCCCTGTGCTTTCTGAAGCAAATTGGGGATGGATGTGACAGATAACAGGTATCTTTTCTTGCTTTATGTATCTCCATTTCTATTTCTCAGCTGATTCTTCTGGCTTGCTTTAGGAAATCTGGAGATCCTTGCTTAGAGGAATGAGGGGGAAAAGGAATGTAAAGAACAGGATACGCTTACATGCCCTTGATCTCATGTCATTACTCTTTCCCCGCACTTTCAAGCAATTTTCTTCTATGCAACCTGACATATTCAGAAAAGAGAAGAGAAAGAAATGTTTGTGTCCATTTGTTTTTCTTGGTCATGAAAACTTCTCTTTCGCTTTTTCCTCTCTCAATTTCTCTTTTCTATTCTAGTCATCTTAAGTCAGTTGAGGGACCCTGAAGATAGAAAAAAAGACTGACAACTCATGGCTCAGAGGATACTGAGCAGATTTTTTTTGGGTGGTTCGAAAACTTCTCTTTCGCTTTTTCCTCTCTCAATTTCTCTTTTCTATTCTAGTCATCTTAAGTCAGTTGAGGGACCCTGAAGATAGAAAAAAAGACTGACAACTCATGGCTCAGAGGATACTGAGCAGATTTTTTTGGGGTAGTTCGTTGTTGTCTAGTCGTTTAGTCGTGTCTGACTCTTCGTGACCCCACGGACCAGAGCACGCCAGGACCTCCTATCTTCCACTGCCTCCCGGAGTTGTGTCAAATTCATGTTGGTTGCTTCGAAGACACTGTCCAACTGTCTCATCCTCTGTCGTCCCCTTCTCCTCTTGCCTTCACACTTTCCCAACATCAAGGTCTTTTCCAAGGAGTCTTCTCTTCTCATCAGATGGCCAAAGTACTGGAGCCTCAGCTTCAGGATCTGTCCTTCCAGTGAGCACTCAGGGTTGATTTCCTTTAGAATTGATAGGTTTGTTCTCCTTGCAGTCCAGGGGACTCTCAAGAGCCTCCTCCAGCACCACAATTCAAAGGCATCAATTCTTCGGCGGTCAGCTTTCTTTATGGTCCAGCTCTAACTTCCATACATCACTACTGGAAAAACCATAGCTTTGACTATTTGGTCTTTTGTTGGCAAGGTGATGTCTGCTTTTTAAGATGCTGTCAAGGCTTATCATCGCTTTCCTCCCAAGAAGCAGG